TCGTGGTCAGAATTATTGGCACCCTTGGTAAATATGATCAAAGAAGGCTGCGAAAATAAATCTGCATTGTTAATCATTTTGATCTTTTATTTAAAAAATTCACATAAATCTAACCTTTCACTGGAGAATAAGAATTTAAAATGGGGGGGAATATCATTATGACATAAATGTTGTTCTCTAATACACATTGGCCACAATTAACAGCACCCTTTTATTCAATGCTTTTTGAAACCTCCATTTGGCATAATAACAGCTCTTCTAGTTTTCTCCTATAATGCCTGATGAGGTTAGAAAGCACCTGACAAGAGATCAGAGACCATTCCTTCATCCAGAATCTCTCCAGACCCTTCAGATTCCCAGCTCCATGATGGGCTTCTCCTCTTCAGTTCACCACATTCATTTTCTATAGGGTTCAGGTCAGAGGACTGGAATGGCCATAGCAGAAGCTTGGTTTTGTGCCCAGTGACCCATTTTTGTGTCGTTTTTAAGGTTTGTTTAAATTATTGTCTGGTTAGAAGATCCAAACATGGCCCATTATAAGATTTCTAACAGAGTCAGTCACTTTTAGATTTTTATCTGTTGGTATTTGATAGAATCAAAGATGCCATGTATCTAAACAAGATGTCCAGGACCTCCAGCAGACATATAGGCCCACAACATTAAAAATACAGCAGTATATTTAATTCTACACATGGGGTACTTTTTATCCATGTGTGCACCAAACCCATCTTGAGTGTTTGCTGCTAAAAAGCAAATTTTTTTTAGTTACATCTGACCATAGAAGCCAGTCCCATTTGAAGTTCCAGTCGTGTCTGACAGCAGAATATGCTGAGGATTGTTTTTGGATGAGAGCATTTCTTTTTCATGACATTCTAATTTATTGAGATGCACCTGTACTTCACAGATATTTTACTCATAAGAATGTCTAGGGGTGCCAATAATTGTGTCCAACGTGTATTTGAGAAAAACATTTATTTCATAATGATATTTCCCCCCATTTTCAATTGTTTTAGTTCAATGAAAGGTTAGATATTTGTGAATTGAACTGTGAACAATGCAGATTTATTTTCACAGCCTTCTTTGATCATATTTACCAAGGGTGCCAATAATTCTGACCACGACTGTATATATATATATATATATATATATTACATTTGATTCTTTGATATATAGCTATAAAGGAAATAAAGCTTAATTTCATTTCATTGGTTCTGCAAAAGAGAAGTCTTCAAAGTTTATTTACCTGCATCAGCAAGTTCAACATGTACAAAAAGGACAAAACAGTCATAAACGAAGTGGACATGTCTCCATATGAGAGCTCACATAAGGCAAAGCTGAATATTTTAACAAAACATTTATTTTTCACAATAAGCCCTGGAATGCTCTGTTATTTCAGCAACCCTCACGAATGCAGACAACATAAAGTAAACGTAAAAACACTAAACAAAGCGCAATAACAAAAGTTTTGATTAAATTATTGCATTCAAACCTTTCAAGCACCACTCGTATATGAATACGAGGCACATCGTTATAGACAAATATTCACATGCAGCACATGTAAGTGTAAGCGCAGCATTTCTACTGCTTCCTGAACCCTTTCAGGATGGGGTAAATATTTTCAAAGGCTTCATAGATCTCTGACCGCTCTTTCGCACCTAAAAATCATAATAACATGAGGAGAATGAGTTTTACAAAACAATTTCAATGCAACACTTCAAATAGTTCCCCAAAAATGAAAATGTGCTTATGATTTGGAGATTTGTTTCTTATAAACATGCAGATTTTTATTTCAAAGACGTTAATTGATGAACTGGAGTGGTGTGGATTACTTGTAGATTATTGTGATGTTTTTTCCAGCTGTTTAGCCTCTCATTCTGACGGCACCCATTCACTGCAGAGGATCCATTGGTGAGCAATTGATCATGTAATGCTAAATATTTCCAAATCTGTTCCAATGCAGAAAAAAACTCTTGGATGGCCTGAGGGCGAGTACATTTTCAGCTAATTTGCATTTTTGGGTGAACTATTCCTTTAAAATTGGATGTGAGATTAGACTAGTGAATACGACTATATATCAACTATACCTGTGAGCACAACTTTTCCAGACACAAAAATCAGCAGCACAATACGTGGCTTCACCATGCGATATATCAATCCAGGAAACAACTCTGGCTCATAGCTGGAGGGGTAAAATGGTTAAAGACAGATGTTACAAGGCCACTTATATTGTGGGCCAGTAACCATCAAACTTAATTATGACAGACAGATAGACACCCGTCCAGACCTGCTGAACTGCTGGTGAGTGAGGACCAGGCCTTCTAAGCGGATAGGAAAGCAGACGTCACAACTTCCAACCATGTTTTGGATTTTGAAGTCAAGGAATTTGGCAGGGAAACCAAGTTTCTGTACCACCCGGGCATATTTCCGTGCAGCAAGGCGAGATTGCTCCTCACTGCTTGGAAAGATAAACAAAGGGAAAGGCAAATATGGGGTAAAAGACATGTGAGACTATCTGTTTTATCTATCTAATTTACAGTTGTGCTACCCTAATGCATTATAGTTCGAGTTCTGAATATATATTATGTATACCTCTTGGCCCCAGTGCAGACCATTTTCCCAGAGCTGAATATGAGAGCAGTAGTTCTTGGTTCACGGATCCTCATTATAACAGCAGCAAAACGCTATACATAGGCAAAGTTTGGAGTTATGCTACCGAAAAGACTGAAAAATTTACCTAAAACACAAAGTTAAAGGAAGAGTTCCCCCAAAAATGGAAACTCTGTCATTTATTTTTACTCATCCTTATGTCAACAGCATACGGAAAATACAATGACAAAATTTACAAGAACTTTTCCTTTAAGAAAGCTATACAAATATGTGTTTTGTCTATGATTTAATATAATTCTATATAGTGTTGCATATTTAAACTACAGTACCTTTGGGTTGTATTCAGCTATTCAGAATTTCGAGCTTGAAGTGCAATGGATTTGAGATTCAGAGGGCAAGCAAGATTTACTGTTGACACAATATTCCTGTGTATGATCAAAAACAGGTTTGGAAATATAGTATACAAAATTAGGATGCAATGGCTGGTGCTTCAAAAGTAATCACTCTATACTTAAAGTAGTGCAAAGGATTCTATTCAAATGTAACTAACTTACTGCAGACATTTGGTTTACTTAAATCATGGAGTTAAAGCATTTTACACTCTTAAAAATAAAGCTTCCAAAATTTTTATAGTGATGTCATAGAACAGGGGTGCCCAAACTCAGTCCTGGAGGGCCGGTGTCCTGCAGAGTTTAGCTCCAGCTTGCCTCAACACACCTGCTGGGAAGTTCCTAGTATGCCTAGTAAGAGCTTGATTAGCTGGTTCAGGTGTGTTTAATTAGGGTTGGAGCTAAACTCTGCAGGACACCGGCCCTCCAGGACCGAGATTGGGCCCCCCTGTCATAGAAGAACCATTTTTGGTTCCCCAAAGAACCTTTCAGTGAACAGTTCTTAAAAGAACCATTTCTTCTTAGTGTGAAGCACATTTTAATAATCTAACCTTTATATAATCAAACCATTTTCCATTATAAAGAACTTTTTGTGGAATCGAAAGGTTGCACAGATGTTAAAAAAAGTTCTTCATGGAACCCAATAAAGAACTTTTGTTTTTAAGAGTGTAGCAATGTTTGAAAGAAAAAAGACTAAATAAATTCTGGGCTTATATGATGCCATAAGATGTTAAAAAGAATCCCGGATACACATTCTTCACATTTTTTTTCTCTCCATAAAATGCCTTACTGTAATTGCGGGATTATGCCTGAACTCTCTGCCACTGGGGTCATGGGGGTCATAGGGGTCATGGGAGTCATCGGGAGATTGAACTGCGAGGCGTTTTGTGCAGAATTACTGGTGTCAGTATCTGCCTCTGTCGACTCTCTCGGAGGACAGTCGATGTAAATGCCGCTGTCCTCATTCCTGCTGAGATTCTTAGCCTGTGACGGCTCATCTTGAGTGCCCAGTTCATCTGGTAAGAAGCTCAGGTCCAAGTCCTCAGTGAGATCTTTCTCTTGAGAGGTTAAAGAGGACAGGAAAGAGGAATCTTGGAGCTGTGGCGCTGGACCCTGTAGGCCCAGATCCCCCTCAAAGATGTACTCAGATGAACCCTTAGGAGAACCAAAAACAAACAAAAAAACATTATAGGCTATAATGCATCAATATAAATTTAAAGCACCATATATTGTTAAAGGGAAACAAACTTCCAAATAAATAAAAAGAATACATAATTGACAAGGACATTTATTTAAAAAAAAAATAATAATAATCTTTTAAATGCATTAACGTTAACATTTTAAAGTGTGGAGCAATATTTCAGTCATATTTTAATTTAATTTGAAATATTTTATTTTATTAATTTGTCCATTTCTGTTGTAAGGTTTCAAATGTATTTATTGATTAAATATTTCCTCTTAAATATGCTGATTTTCTTATTTATAATGACTTAATTTGTTATAAGAACATGCAGACTTGAGTGCCTCTCGATTAGACTGATTATGTTTTCAGCTAACCACAGACTTGGCCATTTCAGCCATTTATTTCACAACTTACAGCAATACTCTGGTCAAAGTAATTTTCGAGAGATGCCTCCTCATCCATGTTCCTTAAGGTCCATTGGAAGAAAACCGATTTGCAAAAAACGAGAAAAGTATCCTAGTCCAAATAATAGTGCTGGCACTTTACCTGAGGATGCGATCTAATTGGCGTCAAGTGTGAAGCTGCTCACAGAGGCGTGACAAATCAAGTCATCAAAACTAACGAGTAAGTTCTGTTTAGAGAACTAAAAACATTTTTTTAATATATATATTTATTTATTTTTTTGTTGCATTTTGGGCTAACAATATAACAAAACGTTACTTTAAAACATAAATAAATAAATGTTCCTGAAGTGCAGTCTCCGGCCAGTAGAGGGAGACAGACGCGACGCTGTAAACAGTGCCTTTTGCGCATGAGCGGAAGACGAACATTAAACAACTGTTAAACATGTGAAGAGTGCATGCGAGCTCTCTTATTATTTTAAAACATTAATACTTCATTGTATAGTATGAATTGGTAGGCATGCATGGGAAGAAAGTATATTATGAGTATTTTAAGCTGACGGAGGCATGTGAAAAATCAGCAGTCAGTATTAGTTTTATAGAAACATGTGGATAGTGTTATGGATGCAGTTAAAGAATGCTTGAGAAATGTTCCTAAAGAAGCTCGGGGTGAGTTCACTTACTGTCTATTATATACTACAATATACATTCATATGACGATAAAAAAAACAGACAAAATATATAATTTTCATGCAATAGAATATTTACATTTATTTATCATTTTTTTATGTTAAATTATATATTTTGGTGCAGTAGAAAAATATATTTTGCTCCATAACATATATTTTCATATCATATCTTACCTCAAAATTAAAAGAAGTATATAAAATTGGGCTTAATGTTACTGTAAGGTTGTTTTTTGACATAACGTTTTCAACTTTTTTGTTGAAAGACTTGTAATTATCAGTGATATCGTTGTCTTCTCTTCCTCAGAGCTTTATCTTAATGATACAGTGCCATACCTGGATGGGCCCCGCTCTCCACTTCAGTTTTATCGTGACTGGATTGGTCCCAACAAGCCCTGCATCATCCGCAATGCCTTCAGTGATTGGCCAGCTTTGTCTAAATGGAACCCCACATATCTCAGGTGAGCCAATCAGATGATCAGATCAGCCTGAGAGTTCTAACATTTCAACTTTCCTCCCTGAAAATGTTCCTGCAAAACTTAAATTTTTTTTTATCGTATTTGTGCAGAGAGAAAGTGGGCTCCAAAGCCATCAGTGTGGCTGTCACTCCAAACGGATATGCAGATGCCGTGAACGGGGATCGCTTTGTGATGCCAGAGGAGCGTCAGATGACCTTTAGCTCTCTGCTGGACATCATTGAGGGGAAGGTGAAGTGCAGTGGTGTGTTTTACGTTCAGAAGCAATGCTCAAATCTGACTGAGGAGTTACCGGAGCTGACGGGAGACGTACAGACTCACATCCCCTGGATGAGTGAAGCTCTTGGTAAGTCCACACATGTTGCATTCATTATCTACCTGGATGTGCCTTTGATTGGATAATGGCTGAATAATGTGAAATGTACATTTTTATAATTTAGGAAAACAGCCTGATGCTGTAAATTTCTGGCTTGGGGAGGAAAGCGCTGTCACATCAAGTCAGTTTGTCTTCATTTGTTTGTAAACGTAAAATATTGTAAACTTTAGCGGGCCAAAACAAGCATTAACATTAGCTAAAACAACAAAAAATATTAAATTCACTCCCTCAACAAATGTTTTATTTTTCATGAAAGAACCAGAATATCCACAGAAATCTTATATAGGAGGTAGCCTAAGTTTAAAAGTATGAATTCTTGATATGGAAAAGTCATGTAAATGAATAAAATCATAAAACGACATGGGTATTTTAATAATGAATATGCATTTTTCTAGTTAGGCCAAGCTCTAAAATATGTTATTTGGTAGAAATTGTGAGAGAAAAATATATTTTTTAAATACTTACCGTTACTATTATTGGCCTTTAAATATTTTTGTGGACAATATGGGGCAATGTAGTCAAAACGGTTGAAAACCACTGCTTTAAACACTCATTTATGTAAGCATTTTTGTGAGCGAGCACCATTTTTTCCTCTGTAGTGCATAAAGATCATTATGAGAACCTGTACTGTGTGATCTCTGGACAGAAAGAGTTTATTTTGCTTCCACCGACTGATAGACCTTTCATACCGTATGGTAAGAAGTTGTCTCTTTATCCAGCTGTTTTATTTTTCTTGCTTAGTTTGAAAACGGAATGCTTTTTAACAAGAAAATGGCCTCAGGACCATCTATTGGCATTGTGTATTATTTCCTCAACATAGAGCTCTACCAGCCAGCGACATACAGACTGAAAGAAGATGGCAACTTTGAAATAGTGGACGAGGAAGATTCAACCAAAGTCAGTTCATATAATTTACAAATGCTTATTGGAATGCAATTGTATATTTTACATTGATGTTATGATTATACATGTTATCAATACATTTTAAAACATTTATAAAAAAAATAATCCTGCAATCTTTCAGGTGCCCTGGATCCCTCTAGACCCCCTGAACCCAGATTATGATAGATATCCCTCCTACAGGCTGACTAAACCTCTGCTCTGCACTGTGAAAGCTGGAGAGATGTTGTACCTGCCCTCCCTGTGGTTCCACCACGTTAGACAGTCTCATGGCTGCATAGCGGGTTGGTGATTTGACCGCAAGTAATATTGCAAAAAATACCAACTTGGCATGCAAATTCTGTTCTGTATTTACTTACGTTCTACAGTGAAAATGCTCTTTTTGTCTTGACAGTGAATTTCTGGTATGACATGGAATATGATATCAAGTACAATTACTTCCAGCTTGTGGAGTCCTTGACAAACGCTGTTGGATCACTGTGAGACTGTTCAAAGCTGAAGATTTGGTTGATATAATCGCTTATCAACAGTTGCTGGCTTTACATGTGGAGACTTCATGAGATATGCATGTACATTTTTCGTGATATAGTAGAATATATATTGCAATAAACAATGCAGTTTAACATGTAATAAATACAGTTTTATTTGTTTGACTTCTCTGAGAAAGAGATTTCAGGTGACAGATTGTATGAACACTGAGAATAGAAACACTTGACTTCGGTTTGGAGCAAAAGGTAAGACAAAGTCACAAGTTTCCAAAAAGAAACGGTCTTAGAGAGCACTGGTCTATCTGTAATGCTAGACTACATCTTGATCAACTGTCAATAGGTTAAGAGGAAAGCAGAGCTGGTCACCACAGAGATAGCGCTGAAAGCAGAAGGTTTGCATGATTGTTCATGAGGAGCAAGTCAAGCGTACAACCATGCATTCTAGTTCAGAGAGCGAGCCAACCATAAATTCTGCCTTTCTTCATGCATATGTAGTGTATTCATGCGGATTCTGACACAGTACTTTTGTTACTGATGCAGTCCTACTGTATGGTTTTCACTTCTGCTACATCACTAGCCCACTAGCTAGCTAAATCAAATCTGTTTGGGCTTACTTTATCATTTTTCATCTCATGCATTTTCAGTCTTGCTTAAATCCATAGCATTTGTCACGAGATGGCAAATAAGAGTTGCATACAATAATGGGTGTAAATAAATCTATTTAACTACAAGACTGCCAGTGCAATCTGCCATTGGTGAAAAGGGTTACCCAACAGTTGGGTAAAAATTTGCATTGTTGTTGCAATTGCACATTTTGCATCTTTCATTGTTAATAAATTTGTACCAAAAGCACAAGAGAATGTGACTAAGCATCAAGTCAATAAATACAATTTATGCATGCATCTCAGACACCAGGCAAGTTGCAGCTGAACTAGTTGCCGAGTAGATGGGTGTACACTGCAACTTTTATATTTTTTTTATGTCAGATCGTACAATATGACACCTGTCAGAAAAAGCCATGTCGACTATTTTATGTCAGGCTATATGATAAAAATCTTTGGTCACCACTGACGGAGTTAACTTAAGCGATCAAAGACTGTCAATATTTTCCCATCAATTTGTCCCGTTGACAAAAAAAATCTTCTAAGATCGCAAAATCGTACAGTATGCACCTGGCTTTAGCTTGGTTTTGTATCCGTAGAAGAGCTGGACACGTTAAAATATGTGCAGGTCCATCTATATAAGAAGTTACAGTACACTTAACATATTACGCCATCATTTTGAATTAAGCTTAATGACACAACAAGTGCCTTACTGTACATTATCAATATTATCACGGAAAAAGAAGAGCTGCTTCAAGCAGAGGTCAGAGAGGCAACACCTTAACCTAGATAGCAATGGATTGTGGGAAAGACTGGAATACAGAGTGACTGTTTTGTTTAGCTCTTGGGAAAATAACAGAGCACATAACAATAAAACACCTTTAAGAAGTCATAATTGGAAAACAAGTTTTTCTGTAAAAATGCTTTTCAGGATAAGGGTATTTTCAAAATCAAGGTTCTGTAAAATCTGTAAACCGTTCTCATAATTTGTGCACAAAACTTTATCTACTTGGCTATTGCAACTATCAGTGTCACCAGAACAATCAATTCAATTCAGTGTTTTTATGGCAGTTTTGTTTTTGTCACAATCTGCAGCCTAGAATTAATCAATTGGAGGTGGACAACATCCAAATATCACTGATCATTTCTATATATAACCTGCTTGAATTACAAATGCCAGATTCATTCCTTCAAACAAATTGCTGGTCGAGATTAAGGCACCTGTATCCATGAGACAGTTACCATTCAAGTACAAAAAAGTCCTGCAAATAAAACGATACAAAATCATCCTTCAAATTCCCCCATTTTTTCTCTGGCACCCAACTGACTCTGCTGGGCATCAGGACATTGACACTATACAACAAGCAAACGTTGAAGAGCCTCTGTGCGACTCCTTGACCTATCACATGAGAATAAATATGAACCCCGACATCCCAATTTAACTTGAGAGCATCAGCACAAACACAACATACAGTATAAAAATCATTCCATAATAAAAGGCAAAAGTGAGCCAAATCTGCCTTGCTAAGACTTCCAGGGATACCGATCCCTTCATAAGAGAGCACTGAGAATTTCTAAAAATATCAAACACAATGTTCAAATAAATGGTGGTTGCTGGAGATTCCTCTCAACAACAGTTTGTTTTTACACATGACAGAATATTGTATCTATATAAAATTGCTTATTCGTCTTTTAAGACGATAACCACTGAATCAATTTTGCTGTACCATGCAGTTAACAAAACCATTTAATCCGTTACTCTCCCTGATGCCGTGTAGGTCATTCAAAAGTTACGATGCCCAAACTATCTGGATGCGTTTTTAGTAGCAGGGCACAACATTTTGCAAAGGGGTGAGAAAAGTCAGGGGTGTGTTGCTGCCATAGTAGCATGCTAAACAGGGAGGTAGGATAGTGGAATTTCTTTTCAATCTCTTTATTAAAAGCTCCTCGCTATTTAAAAGAGTCTGCTGTGCAGTCTCATGGCTTGGTATCCTGTTAGAAATCATAGAAATCAGATTTTGTTGTCCATCCTCTTCTCCACTGCACTGAGCAGCAGTCTGGAGTACTGCTCTAAAAGGGCAAGTGTCCTGTCGTCACCTAATGTTGCATCACTGTTAGCTATTGTGCGCACAGTGCAAGTGCTGGGAGATCTTGAACGAGTGCATGGTGGCAGGCAATTCAGCTCGTCTCTCATCGCCTCAAATGCTTCGGCCAGCACATGTGCCATTTCCTGCTGCTCCTCACTGGAGTCGGTGGAGTTGCTTAGCTACAGGAGCGCACACACATATGCAAAGTTAGATTCAAGTCACCCGCACAAAACAGTTTAGGCAGACGTGTGGGCTGATGTGCAGCCTACTCTACAATTACATGTGAATGTGGCCAAATGATAACCTACCATTTTGTAGAGGTGGGAGGCTCTTTTAAAACTGCTCTGCAATTCATTGGCAGCCAGCCTACAAGAATCCACACTGAGAGATGTGTCTGCAGAGGAGAAACCGAGCTCTGTTAGAGTCATACTGTGTCTTAAAATGAGCTGAGCAACAAAAACATACAATTTTGATTGAGCATACAAAGAAAAGTAAATCTGAGAACTATGAGCATGGAAAATGATTTTGTGCAGTGGTACTCGGCACAAGTGATTTACAGAAATATGACATGGATTAACGTCATTCGTTGTTCCTGAAACAACATTCCAAAGAAGAACCCCAAGATTAAAACAAGAGGGAAATGGTTAATCATAAGAATATTGTTGCAGGACCTTGTCCTAAAGACCAGAGGTTAATGAATGGTTGGTAGGAATGTTGTTCCGGGTACAGTTTTGGTCCTGGATTAGGGGTGAGTGATATGACCAAAATCACGATACAATTAATTTTATTTCACGGCAACGATATATATATCATGATATAGTTATTTTTGCTTTAAATAAGGCTTTTTTTTTGATACCACAGAAATTTCATAATTCTTGTCACCATGTCAGTATCACAAAAAACGAATACTAGCCTAAATAAAATAAAAAAAACTCACTGAAGACAAGTAAACAGTCAGCGATTAAATAATAAAAAACTAATTACAAGCAAGAGGACAAAAAAAACTACAGTAGAACAAATAAATAAGAAATGCTACATACATTGTATAAAGTAATTAAATGTATAAAAACACTGCATATTCTTCACTGTAAATTAAATATATTTCTTCTTAAAGTTACAAAAGTTATTTAGTCAAGAACAGTGAGAGATATTCTCTCTTTTGTTGTTTGATTAACATGAATGTCAGACAGCAGGAATATTAGACAGCTGTCACTTTAGGAGATGCCTGGATCCAGTATACTGTTACACGTTTTCTTTCTCAGCTGTTTGCTTTCACTTAAGACTTCAATTACTGTGTTTAAGAGGATACCTGCATAGACGGGCATTTTGACACATACAGTGTGTGCGTTTAAACTTTCAAGGCCTATAAAGAGGCAAAAATAACTCCAATACTCTCGAACTCTGAGCACCGTCTTCATGTGCATGCGCCTGTTTTTGCTCTCAGACAGCACGCGCATATAGCGAAATTAGTTCTCTTTCACTGCTGATTGCATTTCAACGGCTTAAAATCACTTGTTTTTAAACTGTAATGGTTAAAACACGTGCAAACTGCAAGTTTTCGGATTGATACCCTTGCCCTAACAAAATATTAACCCTACTGCAGGGTTGCCAGGTTTTCGCAACAAAACCCACCCAATTGCTACCCAAAACTAGCCCAATCGTGTTTTGAGGGGGGTCCCCTGGTAAAAATCGCCTTCCGGGGGATAAAAATACATGTATTTGGTGGGGTTCCCCTGGTACAATTCGCATTCCAGGGGCTAAATATAACGTTATTAGGGTCACTTCAACCCACGGACATGAAAAACAATCCATGGCAACAATGTTAAAGTAGTCCGTGGACTTGGCAGCACTGCCCTACTGTAAAATCAGAAGGATACCCTTGACGTAACCCAGGGGTGTCCAATCCTGTTCCTGAAGGAGGCCCCTTCCAGCAGAATTTAGCTGTAGCCCTAATCAAACACACCTGAACAAGCTAATCAAGGTTTTCAGGATCACTAGATACTTCCAGGCACGTGTGATGGAGCTAAACCCTGCAGGAAAGTGGCCCCCAGGAGATTGGACACCCTTGCCCTAACCCAGAGGTGTCCAAACCACACCTGCCTGGAAGTTTCTAGTATGCCTAGTAAGAGCTTGATTAGCTAAACTCTGCAGGACAGTGGCCCTCCAGTTTTAACTAGTGACACGAACCGTGTCCATAGTGTCATTGTGTCACCTGCCAATGACGTCATAACCCCTCGATTTCCGTTTTGTAGAAAACATGGAAACACCAAAGACGCTTTAATATGCTGTGCGTTTTAATAGACCGGTGATGACCGCACAGAGTAGCATTATAACAGAACTTTCAAATGTATCTAGTATGATAAAACAAAAACAAAAAACTTTTTCCCCCCACATAAGCACGACTGGAAGGAGCGGAAGCAGTCGACTGTGGCATAATAAAAGCTCTGCTGCTTTTGAGTCGTGTGTTACAAGCAAGAGGACAAAAAAAACTACAGTAGAACAAATAAATAAGAAATGCTACATACATTGTATAAAGTAATTAAATGTATAAAAACACTGCATATTCTTCACTGTAAATTAAATATATTTCTTCTTAAAGTTACAAAAGTTATTTAGTCAAGAACAGTGAGAGATATTCTCTCTTTTGTTGTTTGATTAACATGAATGTCAGACAGCAGGAATATTAGACAGCTGTCACTTTAGGAGATGCCTGGATCCAGTATACTGTTACACGTTTTCTTTCTCAGCTGTTTGCTTTCACTTAAGACTTCAATTACTGTGTTTAAGAGGATACCTGCATAGACGGGCATTTTGACACATACAGTGTGTGCGTTTAAACTTTCAAGGCCTATAAAGAGGCAAAAATAACTCCAATACTCTCGAACTCTGAGCACCGTCTTCATGTGCATGCGCCTGTTTTTGCTCTCAGACAGCACGCGCATATAGCGAAATTAGTTCTCTTTCACTGCTGATTGCATTTCAACGGCTTAAAATCACTTGTTTTTAAACTGTAATGGTTAAAACACGTGCAAACTGCAAGTTTTCGGATTGATACCCTTGCCCTAACAAAATATTAACCCTACTGCAGGGTTGCCAGGTTTTCGCAACAAAACCCACCCAATTGCTACCCAAAACTAGCCCAATCGTGTTTTGAGGGGGGTCCCCTGGTAAAAATCGCCTTCCGGGGGATAAAAATACATGTATTTGGTGGGGTTCCCCTGGTACAATTCGCATTCCAGGGGCTAAATATAACGTTATTAGGGTCACTTCAACCCACGGACATGAAAAACAATCCATGGCAACAATGTTAAAGTAGTCCGTGGACTTGGCAGCACTGCCCTACTGTAAAATCAGAAGGATACCCTTGACGTAACCCAGGGGTGTCCAATCCTGTTCCTGAAGGAGGCCCCTTCCAGCAGAATTTAGCTGTAGCCCTAATCAAACACACCTGAACAAGCTAATCAAGGTTTTCAGGATCACTAGATACTTCCAGGCACGTGTGATGGAGCTAAACCCTGCAGGAAAGTGGCCCCCAGGAGATTGGACACCCTTGCCCTAACCCAGAGGTGTCCAAACCACACCTGCCTGGAAGTTTCTAGTATGCCTAGTAAGAGCTTGATTAGCTAAACTCTGCAGGACAGTGGCCCTCCAGTTTTAACTAGTGACACGAACCGTGTCCATAGTGTCATTGTGTCACCTGCCAATGACGTCATAACCCCTCGATTTCCGTTTTGTAGAAAACATGGAAACACCAAAGACGCTTTAATATGCTGTGCGTTTTAATAGACCGGTGATGACCGCACAGAGTAGCATTATAACAGAACTTTCAAATGTATCTAGTATGATAAAACAAAAACAAAAAACTTTTTCCCCCCACATAAGCACGACTGGAAGGAGCGGAAGCAGTCGACTGTGGCATAATAAAAGCTCTGCTGCTTTTGAGTCGTGTGTCATGCTTGTTCAGCGGCCTCGTTTCGCTTTGACGGCTTTCAGCCTCACCCTGCTTCATTCTACTACGTTAATAAATCATTAGCTCATCCATGAACATGATTTCTGCCTGAGTCCCCTCGGATTGCATTGGCTGTGGGGATGAAGATGACAACACCCATGATTCCACACTCAGTCACAGCGTCTTCAAACTACGCCTTTGTCTATTTGTTTATTTTGAATACACGCCCTCTAGCGGCGAAAATTACATATTGTGCCTTTAACTGGTTGAGTACCACTGGATTAGAGGATAGACGTTACAGCAAGTG